TGTGGGCTCCGGGCTCTGTCCAGCACAGACTGGAACCCCAGCGCTGCCCTGAAGTACCAGCACACTCCGCGATCGGGGACAAGTGACAGCTGCCTGGTCCCTGGTGAACTCAGCCTCTCGGGCTTGGCAACAGAACACAGAGGAACAGAATCGCGCGCACGCACAGGCGCCCTACAACCTGCGTTCAATTCTGGTTGGTTCTTCCACCCAAAGCCCCCTTTGAACATCGGGGTGTTTCAACGTCCAGAAAACCATGAGACGCAAACACTGTCGCCGTCAGTAAGCGCTGGCATCCCGAACACGTGTTTTTCTTTCTTCATTTTCATCCTTCGAACACGAAACAGTGCCTGATGTTAACCTCTGGGAGGCCCTGTGAGCTTCTAAAGTGCTGACGCCGTGTTCTCATACTAGGCTGTAGCTGAGACAAGCCAACTTGACCCGTCAAATTCCCAGTGAGACGGGAGAGGCCACAACAGGTCTGAGGCCACACGGGCACCCCCGAAGGACACCCCACCCCGGCCATCAGAACGATTGTCTCGCATCCGTTCGATTCTGCGTTTTGTTTGTGCCTCTGAATGACACTGGCGGAAAATACAACGCACAGCGGCAGATGCTGAGAAACAGTCTCCAAAGCCAGCGACTTGCCTGAGGCCCCAGCGTGAGTGGCAGCACCAGGTTCGAACTGAGCTCTTGTTACTCCAAAGGCACCCTCATTTTTTCTTCTTTGTTTTTATTTTTAGAGAGAGAGGAAGGGAGAGAGAGAAACATCAGATACATCGATAGGTTGCCTCTCGCGCGCCCCCTACTGGGAACCTGGCCCACCACGCAGGCATGTGCCCTGCCTGGGAATCGAACTGGCGACCCTTTGGTTCGCAGGCCGGCACTCAGTCCACTGAGCCATGCCAGTCGGGGCCAAATGCACCCTCTTACCCTGACTGACAGCACCTTTCTCCCAATGAAGCCACTGCGCCCTCCCCAGCACTGCCGGCCGGCGCATAGGCAGGGAGCGTTGGGCGGGGGAGGCTTCGGGAAGGGAAGGCTGGCAAACAGGGACAGTCGGAGCGGCTGGGAGCCTTGAGGCGCCGGGTGTGACATAAGGTATAAGACGAGTTTAGAAACATCCAGATGGAGGAGGAAGGGAACCTGGGCAAGAGGGAGCCTGTGCCCAGCGTATCCGTATCCCAGGTGACTGCAGGGATAGCACCGAGCTAGCTCTGGCAACGGGGGCACCGGACTGCCAGGCGCCCGCCTGAACGACCGGAAATCCAAAAGGGAACTTCTGTAACGAATCAGAATGCCCACTCTTTGGGCAGGACCGCCAGCCCCAACGAGGCTGCTTTCTGGCCCACGTGACAGATGACCTAAGCTGCACAACTCCCCAGTGCTTCCCCGCCTGCCCACTGGGCGCCGGTTCTAGGAGGGATTCCAAATGGGAACACAACGCAGCTCCAGCCCTGGGTATCGGCGAAGGGGGAGCGGGGAGCCAAGCGCGCGCTGAAAGGAAGAATCACGTTCCTGGGGCTTCATTCATTCATTCACCCAGCAAGTAGCACTGAGGGCCTGGAAGGGGCCAGGCACTGTTCCAGCTGCCAGGGATACAGAGGTGAACAAAGTCCTTATGCTGGCGTGGGGAGAGACAGACAATAAACAAAGATGGACTGCACACAAATAAATTGCACATTAAGTGCTACGAAGAAACACAAAGCAGGGTTCAGAAGAAAGAGGGAAGTGATGCTAATGCATGTAGGCTGGTCAGGAAGCCGGCCTGTGAACAGAGAACCAAAGTGGGCGAGGGAGGAAGCCAAGTGGACACCTGGCCCAGGCGCAGGCCAGGGAGCGGAAACAGCAGGCGCAAAGGCCCTGAGGTCAGCGTGAGCCTGGCCCCTGCGAGCACCAGGGGATGAGAGGGAAAGAGCCCACATTCAGCCGGGGTCATCAAGGATGGACATGAAGGCTCTGGGGATTGGGGGGGCACGCAAGGCACGCCTGCGCAGTGAGCCAGCCTACGTGGGGCCTGACTGCCTGGAGGGACCACAGCCGGGGACAAAGCGGGGAGCGGGGGAAAATAAGGCTAAGGAGAGCAGGTGTGGAACGGGCACTGAGGGCTGGAACAAGGGACAGCGGACCTGGCCTAGGTCCAACCTGCCCCGGGGCAGCCCTGCAGTGCCCCCTGGGAAACCCCACAGCCGGGACAGAAATCCTAATTCATACAGCAACAGCACCCCACCGGTATGTCCCATCCCAAAGCCTGGCGGGGGGGGGAATCTCAAGCCCCACAAGCTGCGTGACCTTGAGGTCCCTGTCCTCCCCCGGCTCCTGTGTGTGTCTGAGAGAGGACAAGGGCCCAGTGGAGGACTGGCTGCAGGGGAGGAGGGAGAAGACTGCGCCCACGACAGCTGACTCAGCCTGTGCCAGCAGGCTGCTCTGAGACACCAGCTGGACCTGGCCCAGGTGGTGGGCGGGGAGCCAGAAACCCTCCCCACCACGGGCACGTGGCCCAACCACCACCAGCCGGACACCGGGGCCACCTTTTGGTGAGCAGTCATCTCAAACGTGACCCACGTTGGGACGGAGCTGCGTGACAGTGCCTGCATCACTTCCTGCCGAGCCCCACGCGTCCCCATGTCTCGCGGCCCCCCAGCAAGGTCACAGCTATGTCTCCCACTCCCTCTTCTTCCCTGAGGCCGGGCTGCGAGGCAAGGCGTGCTGGCGTCTGCCACTTGTTCCGGAAGTCCCCCGAGGCCGGCCGGCCATGTGTGCAAGGCCCCGGTGCCCACCTGCCCTCTGGGACGCCCCCTGGCAATAAAGGATTCTGCAGGTCTTCAGACCCTGCTGCCACCCGGGGCCCTCACCTGTTGTCCTCAGGTCGGGCACGCAAAACCAAGGACAGGGACTGGCGCTGGGGAGGGGCTGGCGCCTGGGGGGCCTGTGCACCCAAGCTCTGCCCCTCCCCCCCCACAAGCCTCACAGTCACCCAGTTCAAACAGAGCCCAACAGGACACCAGCCTCCTGGCGGAGCGTGTTCTCCCTCTGAGCTCCTCCGTGGTGTCGAGGAAAAACCAGGGTGTGTCGGAGAGCTCTCAGCTCTCTGACTGGAGTGTGACTGGTGTCTTTTACAATTACCTTTTATTTTTATCCGGCGCTTCTTAGCTCAGTTGGCAACCTGGACTATTTACGGGCCTTCATTTCACAACCCAACCCCACCAATTATTCCTGTGAAACTAATAGGTATGTATATTTAAGGGTTAGAGGGACTCAAGGGACAGTTTTGCAGGCAAGCGAAGGAGCCACATGTCGGGCCTGGGGGTCTGAGACAGCGAGCGGAGGTAGCAGAGAGTGAGGAGTGGGCTGTCCCCTGCCTGGCCCTCCTACCAGCGCCCACCTTGCCTCTCAGGTTCCCACGCACAACCCCCCCAACCCTGCCGTCTGGTTCGGCCCACACATGCCCCCGGCCCAGGACCCTGGAGGTGGAAAGAAAGGCACAACTGTGCTCCCCAACAAATGACCAGCAGTCAAATAGAGAGAGGCAGGCTCCCACAGGAGACTCTTGAGCTGCCCCGTCGCTGGCGCCTTCCCCCAGACCCCGCCCGGCCCCAAAGTCCACTCCAAGAGTCTCTCTCGTCTCCAGTGCTAGGGAGGCTGCCCGCTCAGCAAGCCGACCCCTGGACGCAGCGACTTGTCCCCTAGTGCCCTGGATGCAGCTGTGTCGCTCACGGCCCAGGGGACCCTCTCCAGCCCCCTGGGGAAGTGAGGGCACAGGGCAGGGTGTCGCGGCAGCTCCTGACTGGAAAACCAGACCTTGTCCCTTCCGGGTGGACTGCCCAGGAGAGGAGGAGAGGCGCCCCCGCCACCCGCCTCATCTCAGGGGGACCCCTAGCGCAGAGGCCGGAGCCATGAATGGGCCACCCACTGGCTCCGGGCGCCGGCAGGCACCTCCACTGTGCGCCTCCGGAGAAGTTGTTTCTTGTGCACCCTCCAAGCTTTCAGGTCATTATGTCTAAACCAACTGTTCTTTCTCAAAGAGAAAGAGAAAAGAAATCCCAGAAGGTGGGTAGGGGCAGAAGCCGAAGAGGCCAGGGAGCGCCCAGCCCACAGGCACGGGCTCTGGAAGGAGATACCGGGGTGGGTGCCTCACCGTCTGCACGGCCATGGGGGGAGGCGGCTCAACCACAGATTGGAGTCTGGCCTCCGAAAGGCCGAATGTGAAAAAATGAAGTCTTCCTTCTGCAAGGAAATACTAAGTTAAGACTAGCAGGGTCCATCCCTGCCTCCGCTCTCCGTGAAACTCGGGCAGGGCGATCACCCGCGGAAACCCCAGGAGCCCCTGGGCGCCCGGACAAGTCTGTCCCCAGCCTTGGCACACAGGCCCGTCGCCCGGCGCAAAGCCCAGTTCGGGGGGCGGGGGCTCAATGTTGGTTGGCCTGGACCGTCAGTGCTCCGACCTCCCGGCAGCAGCGGGAGGAAGCCAGGCCAATGGGCAGGACCCTGCCGCGCCCCAGCCCCACGCCGGAGGCCCGGAGGACCAGGTGTGCGGAATTTTTAATTGAGTTTCTCCCGCTGGGCCTCATTAGAAAGGAAAAGGGGGGAGGGGGCGAAGATCCGGGCTTGGCTTCCCGGGAGCTAGAGAACCCCGAAGCGCCCCCAAACTCAGGAGTTGCCGACCGGAACGGGGACTTGGTGCCAGCGCCCAGCGGGGCCGCCGCGGGCACTAGGGACCCCAGCCCAGCAAACCCGAGCGGACAGCCGCCGCCGGCCAGCGCCCCTCGTCCGCACGGGGTCACCCCTTGCTGCGGAGTGCCCCCGGGATGCGCGAGACGCCGGCTCGGCCCCGCGGGTCCAGAGGGCGCCGGTCCGCACCCCCACTCCCCAGGGCGCCCACCCGCTCCGCAGCCCCGCCAGGTCCGGAGGGCAGCGCTGGGGCCGCGACAACCGCTTCCCTCACCCCGAACCCCTAACGCCCGCCCACCCGCGCCCCAGGCTGCGGCCGGGGGCCCGCTTACCTGGCCCGGGCGCGGGGCTGCGCGGCTGCCCGGCTGCCCCCGCCCCCGCCCCCACCGGCTCGATCCGCGAGGCCGCCGCCGCCGCCGCCGCCGCAGCTCTTTGTGAGCCCGCGTCGCGCCGCGCCGCACACCGCGCCTGCTGACGAGCCCGGGAAACTGGATAGCGGCGGGCGCGCCCCGGACGCGGCGTGCGGCACGCAGGGCCGCCTCTGCCGCGCACCCCGCACCAGCCTCTTCAGCTGCCCCCAGCCCCGGACGCTGGGCGGAAAACGCTGGTGGACCACCCGCACGGCGGAAAGAAACGGAAAACAAAGATGCGGTCGTGCCCAGCCCCCTCCCTCCGAGCCCGGCTCCAGGACAGTCGGGCGCGCGGGGGGGTGGGGGACGGGGGGCGGGCAAGGGGGCGCACCTGGGGCCGCGTCCTGCGGGGCTGATCTTGGGGACCTCGGCCAGCCTATGCTCTGGAAGCCGCGGCGCCCAATCGCCCCGGGTCTGGGGAGCACACAGATTCCCGGGCGCGCCCCGGACCTGCCGGATCCCGAGCCTGAGGGGTCTGGTCCTCCGGCGCGCAGAGAGGGCGACGGCGAGGCTCCGCTGTGCCCGCACCCAGCCCCGCGCGCTGCGCTGCCCCCTGGCGGCTCGGGAGCGCGTGCGGCGGGAAGGGGCCTTGGCGACCGCGCCCTGCTTGGCTCTGCACGGCCCTGCGTGGGTCTGTGAGGCAAGTGGGGTATTCCAGCGAGAAGCCCTCGGGGATTGCAGCTTCGGAGAGCCTCATCTGCGAGGGGAGGTTTCCCCTAGAAATCCCTGGTCGCGGACTGCACTCCAGGTCTTTTCTCCCCATCTACGGTACCAGCGGCCACCTTGTTCCTAGTACCCTGTGCTGCCGTAGCCCTCGCTGCCGACTTCCCCTTATGCAGGGCCTCGCCCCAGGCCTTTGCCTCCTTCCCATCCTGAATGGAGAGGACCCTAAGCACGTCCTCTCCCAGAGACCCGCGCACACCCAAGGAGAGTCAGTGATCCACCCTCACAAGTGCGAACAACCCCCCTTGAAGCCCTTGAAGGACGGGACGTGCTGGAGACAGACACCGGCGTCACCTTTGACCCCTCTTGCCCGTTCATTCAGCCGCATGGCCAACTGATGTGGTCACCTGTGGGTTCTACCCGGGAAGCCCTGTCCACCCAGGGCCGGGGCTCGGGTGCCTCCTCCCGCAAACACCGCCCCCCCATTTGGCCCCTGTTCCCTTCTGTGCTGGATCGGGGTGCAGCTGTGGGGGTGGGGAGGGTTCTGAGGAAGAGTGCCGCAGAAGGAAGGGGAGGCCTGAGTGGGGTGAGGGGAGCCCGCTCCTGCGGCAGGAGGGCAGAGCTGAGACCCGGGAGACGGGGCTGGAACAGCGGCAGCCTAAGCCAGACCGTGGCGGACCTGGTATGGACTTCCTGTGGCCTTGAGCTCTTAGGCTCCTTCCTACTCCTCAACCCCCTGGAGCACCGCCCCCCCCTTCAAAAACACAAAACAAAAACCACTCACCCTGACCCACAGACCCAGACCCTCCAGTTGGGGGAGCTGGTCCTGGTGGCGCAGGTTCGTAACCCAAATGCCAAACAGAGGCAGCAAGGACAGAGCCCAGAGCAGGCCACGGGGATTCCCCACCCACTCCAACCTCGGGGCTGAGGTGTCGCCCAGCCAACAAAAAGCTCAGCTTCATCTAGTCTTCTCTGGCCCAAGCTTTCCTCCAAATGCCAATGACGGGATAGCAACAGAAGAGAAGAAATGACTCCGGCCTTAAACATTAAGTATGGAGTCCAAACGCTCATCTTACTCCAGGGTGGTCAGGTCTCAAAGGGGGTCTGTGCATCCCTGGATGTGGGTAAGCTGCTAGTGCGGCGCCGGTCCTTCGGCAGCGTCGCGAGAGCTCCGCCCGCGGCAGCCCTGGGCCGGCCAACGAGGTGAGCCCCCATGCTGCACGCAGGAGCGACCGCGGCTGGTGTCCCCCGGCCACCGGGTCCCAGGCCCAGGCCTGTCCTGCTGCCCAGCTGCACGCAGACCTCCTAAACCTGGTGAGCTTCAACCGTCACTATTCCGCGAATTTTTAAAAAATCTTGGAGCGGCGCAAGCATTTCTCAGTATTGGAAAACCACAATGTAAAAGACTGCCAGCCCTGGCCGGGCGGCTCAGTTGGTTGGAGCGTCATCCCCTGCACCAGAGGTGGCGGGTTCGATTCCTGGTCAGGGCACATGCCTGGGTTGCAGGGGATGTACAAGAGGTGACCGATCCACATTTCTCTCTCTCCCCTTTCAACCCCTGCTTCTTCTCACTCTAAAATCAATAAATATCCTCGGGTGCAGATTAAAAAATTCTTTTCTTAAAGACTGCCAAATGTGACTTCAGAAAAATTCCATGGCAACCATCACCATTAGCAAAGTCAATAACAAACCAAGAACAAAATATTTGCAACTCACATCACCAACAGTTAATTTCCCTCATATATAGGTAATTTCCTTCACCATTTCTAGATAGCATCTAGAAATGGTGAAGGAAAAAACAACTTAGGAAGAAAACAGGCAAAGAAAGGTAAGGAGACGACAGTCCACAGGAAATACAAATGACTTTCAACATCGGAAAAGATGTCCCTCCTTATTCGTAATACGAAATTATGATATTAAAAATGTGAGGACAACCAAACTAGGACACCGTTATAAATGGAAGAACCAAGAGGCCATGTTATTAACATGGAATGTTCTCGAAGACATACTGTTAACGAGAGAATGAAGAGCAGATGCAAGTAGTGTGCCAACATGTGTGTAAAAACAACAGTGAGCACACACATGCTCGTATGTAGTCATAATTTGAAATATATAATACCCCAAAGAAAAAAGCATTTAAATTATCATCCATAACCCTGGTTCTTAACTCTTTGGGGAGTAACAGATCTCCAAAATCTTTCTCTTTTTGCTCAGGGGGAATTAAAAAATAGACCCTCTGCCCCGCCGCAGGAGATGCCTCTAACAGTAGGGTTGAACCACGTGGCTGTGCTACCTACCACCACTTAGTGGTCACATTTGTGAATTGCAGGCACAGTGCCAATACCCTTAAGCCCAGAGGAGCTCCAGGCCAGACTTCCTGCAAGACGCATGTCCAGTGAAGCCAAAAACTTGTCAATTCCTCAGCACTCACCATAAGTTAGTTTGAAAAAATAATGCATGCCTTTTTTATACAGGGAAGGAGATTAATGGTCTGCCTTAGAGGCCGGGAGGACTTTCCCTTATAAAACTCCTGAACGACAGAACATTAATTTTCTTTCATTCCGGGGCTGAGCGTATAAACGGGTTTGATTGATAGACATGCGCTCTCTCTACGGGGAGGGCAGGGCGACGCTCCTCCCGGAAAGCTGCTGCTTGGCACAAGCCTTATTGGGTCTCGTCACTCACCAATTTTGCTAACTCCAAGCACGTGCACTCTCCCTTAACCCTCCATCCTGTGTTGTCACAAGTGTCCTGAACCACGAGCCAGGGGCCCTGTACCCTGGCACCAGCCAGGGCAAGGCTTCAGGTACAGGTGAGGAGGTCAGCCTCCCAAATCCCCAAGATGCATGGGAAGAAATGTGACGCAAGCCACTGCAGGGCGGCCTTTGACTCTCTTACCTTCAGGATGCAAGTCGGTGGGAAACTCACTAACCAGCTCACGCTCTCTTGGTCTTTCCACCAACCAGGGCTTTACGTCAGACGACACAGACACGCAGTGTGGAAATGCCTTTGACGCCCATGGAAGCCAATTTCCCTCCTAAAAAGTAAATACCATTTTTTTTTGGACTGAAATACTGTGAAGGGGACAGTTTCCACTGAGGCTGGAAGCAGTAAGGGCAAGCCTAGGGCTGCCAGAGCCACTGGTGAAGGCAGGCCTCCTAGAGAGCAGCACTAAGCCAGAGGAAAGCTGGGCTGAGGGTGGAGGCCCTGGATCCAGCCATGCCTGATTGCCCTGCAGCTAGGTGATTCCGTTTTTTGTTTTGTTTCGTTTTCATTGATTTGAGGGGTGGGGAGAGAGAGAGACACTGATGTGTTGTTCCACTTACTGATGCATTCATTGGTTGTCTCTTGCATGGGCCCTGACCAGGGATTGAACCCACAACCTTGGCAAATGGGCATGACGCTCCAACCAACTGCGCTACCCGGCCAGGGCTACAGTTCAGTTTTTAAGTCTCTCTGAGTTAAGTTCCTGCCCCCGGTAACCTTAAGAGCCTGATCGGATACAGTAAGAACCATGATTTCTTTGTTGTCACCAGGACCAGTAAGGAGAGGAAGAAACACAGCCACCAGATTGCAGAAAGAGCAGCGGCATTTATTGTCACAGGCCTCTCTCAGTTCCAGAAATGGTTTCCCTCGTCACTTCTGGAACCTCAGAAGCACATTTGAGAGGAACTTAAAGAATTGAATACAAAAAAAATCCAAAAAACAAACAAACAAAAAAACCCATTCAAAAAGAATTGAATACATAAAGCTTGTGGAGGCAGAGGCTCGGGGAGGTTTTTGGAGCGGTGCCTTCTGCAACTGGACTGAGTGCCGTCGGGGGGCACAGACCTTGCTGGGCCTGAGTCACAGCGTCACAGTGGGGTTGACAGTGGAGGTGATACAAGGAGCACTTTGCCACAGGGACCACTGGGCTCTGCGGTGACCTTCGACATTGCCTGGGCTCACTTGCTGGCTTTTCCAATGTGGCTTTTCCAGGGACAGGACCCAGGGCTGAATGACCCGCCCCTTCTGCCCCCCTCCCCCGCCGCCAGAGTCCCCTCTCCATCCTCTGGTCCTGCTGGACTGGGTTTATACAAGATCAACTATGTTTCCCACATCAGAACTTGGGGCTGGTCACAGGCCATTCCACAATGACCTGGCAACGTCAGGAGACGCTTTTGGTTGTCACCGATGGGCCGATGCTTGTGGCATCCAGAGGCTAGAGACCTGGGACGCTGCTAAACATTCTACAGCACACAGCTCAGGTCAGTCCCCGCACGCAAAGCGATCTGGCCAAGCCGAGACACCAACGGCCTGAGGCTG